GCCCCCCCCCCCCCCTCCCCCCTCCCATCCCCAGTATTTTGTTAGGTGCTGTCGCTGGTAGCCATTTATACCCCTGGGTGGAGAGAAGCACTGTGAGAGTGTAAAAGTGTAATCTCTCCGGCTTAGTGTGGACGGAAAACATTTGATGTGTTCTTACAGTGAAAGCTGTGTTTTCAAATTCCTCTGGCGTAGTGTGGACATAAAAGGATTAACGCGCCGTCAATAGCGCCCAAAGAAATCACAGTTGACTTGGACAAGAGGCCGAAGCCCCTGAGGTCATCTATCAACCAAAAGATCGCGTCAAGCAAACAGCACTGAAAAATGAACTGGACATACCGTGTACGTATCGCTGGGAAGGAAAAAAACACACCACGTGAATTAAGACCAGTTTTAAAAACAAGCAATGATAAATATAAACGTGCAATGCCAATAGCAGGTATTCTACGCACGAACAATGGAGAAGCGTTCCTTAGAAGAACGCTTTGTATGTTTGTTATAAATTATGAAACTTTGTTGGGCCATGGCTTTTTTTATGTTTTTTTCTACGCCTTCATCTTCCCACTGTACCAATTTCATTCGATCATCTTTTACAAATGCCTTAAACATACATCTGAAGGGCTTCAGTTTTCAGAGCGAAGCGTTTCAGTTTAACCGCGAACACATAGTAAACCAGTTGACGGTTTGCGCGTTCTGCAACAAACTTCTTTGCTGCGAGTTCGACGATCGAAGGACATCGTCGAAAACATTTTTCACCGGGCGGTGTTACATGTGTAGAAAAATATCGAGAGAATACTTAGTTTTGTCGTCTAATTTAGCGTTATTTTCGCAAACTGTATTTTAATAAGTATCCTAATTAGGAATAATTACCGGTAAATATTGATTGTAGTCACCCGTAGATAACCCGCTGGTAAAACTGAAACTTTGTAAGAATATTTCCGAGTTACGGTTTTTTTTTTACATCAATAAAGGATTTGTTTATTTTACGTTTTATACGTTCTGTTTATTGAACGCGAATGTGAGGGTAGAATTGGGCAGTGCACACCGATTGCGAAAAAAAAAAGCAAAATAGGCTACAATTTTTTTTTCTTTTGAACACAAAACAATCAAAACTGTATTCCCAGCGAAGATGGAAGGTGCAGTCGAAATAGCATAACAGAATATTTAACGACTTAGCGGCGAAAAACAGAAAACGAGAAAAGAATTTTAATCATACGAACTTTTCTCGAGTTAAATTTATTATAATTTGTTGTGAAAATAGCAAGTCCACAATATTGGAACAATGGACCCTCATTGAACGAACTAGATTTCCATCAATTGGAGTTTAACATTCAACAAAATATTGAAAGATTCTTCAGCAGGGAAACTGTAACAAGAACTATTCACGTTGACTTGCCCACACTTCGAAATCCAATAATTTGTATTTAATTACGTTAAACTTTGCCGTTCTGACTGAGTGAGTCTCAGGGGAAAACGAAAACTTCGTTCGTCACACATTAAATATTAAATCGACTCCAAACAGGTATCGAAAATTTGCAAGAAAAAATACTAACTGGTAAATCAATATCTTTGTAGTTTTTGCAAAAAACCATAGGTGGTCTTCGCAACTTGTTTTCTCGTTTGTTAGATTTATCACACTACTGAAACGTTTGATTCTTCATGAAGGCATTGTAAAGAAACTAAATACTTTTAAATATTAAAAGCGCATGGATCGACAATTCATCGCGATTCGAACGATTTAAGAAATATTAATGTCCACCTATGATTTTAGGGGTGGTTTTCAGAACATAACTTATAATCGACTTGAAAAGACATTTATATTTAAAGTAAGAAAAAAACCCGGAATCCCATATATTGCTTTAAATACCCCGTGTAATCAGTCTCATTTCTTTTACCGAATTGTATATGTTTCCTTGAAATGTAGCGAAGCCGGCGACCAGCTTCTCTGAGGTTCTTGAGTAAACAAGACGTTTATGAGTCGCGAAACATGTTTCACCAACTTGTAACAAGCGAGAACAAGCAAAACCACTAGAAAAGGTGGAAACTTGCTACTTGAAAGAGCAAACACCATTTCAAAGATAGCTATTAATTTTAATGACGTACAGAGCGAATTCTAACAGTTTAAAACTACAGCTCCGCGCTCTTCCACTGAAATGAAATTACCCAACGAAAACAATGTCAAAGCCACAACTTCTTCGTTCGGTTCCAGGCAGCTTTAGTGCAAGAAAATAACTAAACTTCTCGCTAAGATATTTGACAATCCTGGCAGCTAAATTCCCCGAGGTGAGAAGCTTTAGTTTGTTAGCCTGTCAGTTCTTTTGTTTTGTCCGGTACATGATGAAATGGTTCGATGGATTTTGAAGAAGAACATCACACACGTCTTGAAATAAAGCAGTAAAACAAAACCAAAATTCTAAAGTTTCACGCTAGACTTTGTCGGTTGGTTTGTGTTCGTTGTTTCATTTTCAAGCGATCTTATCACGGGTGCAAAAACGACTAAAAAGCTGTAAGAAGTCATACATAAATTATATCAGTTTTATTTCGCTGTTAAAAGAGCAGGAATAGAATCTTTCGAGTGAAAAGTCAAGATTTTGTTTTAAACTTTGAAGTCTTTAAGCCGGAGTGAGTCCTGTGTTTTAGACTGAGATTTAAAAATAAGATTAGTGTGCCGCTCGTACAGTTGCAATGTTTTTACCTACGGTTTACAGTGAATTTTTACTTTGTACAGTATTTAAGGACAGCATATCACTTGCAGGCGAACTAACAATGCTATTGAATAATTGACAAGTTACGAGCCAATGGGAGAGCTTGTTATTCTTCGCAAAAATCTCTGTTAATTAGTCAGCGACATTTAAGCGCTGGTTCTTTCTGTCCAGTGACAACAATTTTACGTGATCGCGAACTACACGAGTGTTGAGAAACTGCGCGTCCTGAAAAACTGATTTTCCTCTAGAAATAATTCCTAAAACTGATCCAACGAGGAAACGAATCATCATTGTTATGAGTGCTATATCTGAAAACGGTTCATCCAGCATTTCACCCCGTGCGCCCAAATGCGCGCGTTGTAGAAATCACGGAGTGGTCTCTTCTCTCAAAGGTCACAAGCATTATTGCAAATGGAGGGATTGCGTCTGCCCCAAGTGTTTATTGATAGCCGAGCGACAGAGAATTACCGCGGCTAGAGTAGCTCTCCTACGCCACCAGACCAGAGTAGAGCCTTATGAGCTTAGAGGAAGCGGGCCATGTGCGAGTTACTCGCGCGCGAGCGGCGATCACGAAGGAAACTTTCCAGCTTCACTCACGCACAGGATTAACTCCGTTTTCTCCACAAATCCGCCAGCCGAGCCCGTACGACCAGCTTCTTGCCCCATCGCTGAAGGTAATGAAGTAGTTCTATGAATTTAGAAGGATAGTAAAGCCATAGTAACCTTTTCTAAACTTGGTACGTGAGTCGAAATGATTAGTTTGTGACCACTGGGGAAAGGAAGGTGCGAATACGCCGTTGAGAGAAGTCGATTTCAAAGAACAAAAGCTTCGGCTGTAGAATTGAAGCTAAACATTTAGAACATTCTTTTGTTCTGTTGGATGAGCTGTGTAATCTAACTTAAATCAAACAGTAATTTTTCAATGAACCTTACGACATGCCTTGTTTTGTTATGATGATTAATCCAGGTACGGAAGTTTCTCTTTTCAAATGACAGTGAATGGAATTACATTCCTTGTGAAGAAAAAAAAAAAGAAAAAAAAACTGTGATGAAATTACGTGCAAGTTAAAGAATGGTTTCTTTCTTCTATCATCAGCTATTGATCTCAATTACTATTCATTTGACATGATTCTGTAAGCGTTAAATTTGTAGTTACTTGACGCAAAGTTTCGACCAAGAGGAAAATTTTTTGACATTTGACTTAAAAATACCAGAATCGCGCGCTCAAACACTCGATATCTATTTCCTATCACGGTTAGTGATGATATTTACCCCAAAATGTTTTTATTTAGCAAAAGAAACTTGATGGGCCAAACAATTACTCCACCTGGCATCCACTTCAACAAGTACAAAAAAGCTGTGAATTTTTTTCAAGATTTATTTACTGGCTCGGCTAAAAACTGTACAAAAACCATTTATCTGAATTAGCTGATACAAGTTGAGTTCGCCCGCAAAAGCCTATAAGCTACTTGAAAGCGCGCACAATTTCCTCAACCTTACTTAAAACATTTTGTGGCCAAATTTAACATTTCCGGAAAAAACTGAAGTAAAATGACTCTCTGGCAAAAAGTCCTTTATTGGATTTCGAAATTCCTTGCTAGATGAGAGAATTATCTCCTATTTCTGCTCGGTGAGACTGCCGCCGAACAGAAAGATAAGGGAATCTCTTTCTCGCAGGGCAATTTAACATATTAGCGAATTTTTTTACTAGAAATGCAACAAGTTTTTTGAAGTTGTGAGGAAAGTTTAAACAAAGAAGACGAGCTATTTTACCGCTATTAAAATATCTCCTTGTTTTCAATTCTGTTTCCTGCGCTTAAATCGGCGTAGCAAAAGATTTATAGTTTAAGCTCCACGTAAGATGCACTTGCATTTTTCAGTCACGGGTATTCTAAATTTGACCTGTAACAAAAAGTGTTTATATGATCCGGTGTTGGAATAAATACCATATGCTCTTGTCTTAGGCGGAGGGGGTTGAAAAAAACTATTCTAAGATAAACTTTTGTTCTAATGGCCTCAAGAAACTTACTACGCCGGATGTGTTCTTGGATTTGGCGATCGCTACAGAGGATAAAACAAGCCTACAAACTTGATACTAGCTTGCTTGAAAAACAAGTGGAAATATATTCAATCATGAACGTGAAGACAAAAAAAAAACATTTTTTTTTAATGGAGGGTAAGCAAGTGGTTCTCCGTCACATACATTACTTACAAAACAATTCGGGCGTCAAAATTTCACTTTTTATCTCATTTAGGACACATTTCGGACAGAAGTTTCGGACAGTTTGCTGAAACACAAAATGTACGCCTTCAAAACACGAATTAGACTGAAACAACATCTGTGAAAATAATAGTTTTGCTGTAGCCTCAAAGTTTTAGAATACACCAACCAGAAAATAACGCATATTCTATCACGCCGTTATGTATCTCAGCTAGAGTTCGCTCCATAAAGGAAACTATTCCATAAAGGAAACTATTTGAAGAGCTTCGGAGCTACTGCAAATATTTCGGAAGCTTAAAAATTTCGGTTTTATTTCCTTTTCAGGCGCTTTTTTCGTCCGAAATTTAAATCGTTCAAAATTTTTCGCAATTAAATCAAACATTTTACATGTAGTTGGAAGTAGTTCTTTAATCGCAATGGAACAAAAGAACCATGGTGATCGATGTTAGTGTTTTACAAAGTAAAATTATTGAGTTTAATGAAAAGCACAAATTTTCTCCAAAACTTTCTTTTTCGCCATAAATCGGTCCAATTGACCATTCTTAGTCTCTAACGAGCAAAATTTGGCTCGATGAAGGAATTCATACATTTTTGTTCAAAAAACCAGCGATTGCACGTTAAAAAACGCCAGTCTTAAGTGCTGGAATTTTGACCACATTACTCTTTCTTCCCGGTTAAGTTATTTGGGGATAGTCTTCCTAACTGTTTCAATCTCTGATCATCTCTTACGCAAAGGCGTGCAAGACAACTTTAATATTTTGTTTTGTTCAATTTACAGAGAAAAACGCGCAACAGCCTGTGTTTATTAAGGAAGAGAAAGAGGATCCAGAGTATTCCAACAACGCCTCACTCCCTGTGGATGAACAAGACGATGAACCCGCGCCAAAGAGGTTAGCAAGGAGCGCCTCTCCACCTCATGTCAACGGTGTTTGCCGCTCGCCATCACCCCGCTTTCACGTGCACGACAACTGCCGGTCATATGTTGACCACATGGTCAAAGAAAGCGAGAGACCTACGTTCCAGTTTCCATGGAACTCTACATTCCGCGATCAAGATGATTTCGACTACACTGTCAAACTTCTGCAAAAGAGCCTCGGCGAATCTACGTTGAAAAGAAGAAAGCCCCCTCGTCCAGTCGAGGTACTTAGCAAGGTATTCCCCTCACACAAGGAGAACGTACTGGAGCTTGTTTTGAAAGGCTGCAGTGGTGATATAGTCCAGGCGATTGAGTGCATTCTAGCGGGCAAGAGTCACTCCATTGACTTCCCAGAAGCAGTTCCTTCCCGTCTGCCTAGTGTCACTTTAAGTTCTTGCTTTCCCAGCATGTCATTCGCAGGAGTAAAACCAAGTATATTTCCTACTGCGCCACTCACTTTACCGCTGACGTCACACAACGCCGCCACCACGACAGCGGCGCTTCCACTGACTTCCATGGGAGGTTTGTCTGCACAGGCGCATGCCGAGTTGCGCTCTCGGCCTGCTCATTTGAGAAGCCTCCCTATACAGAATCATAGATGCGAGAACGACGACGGAGAACGACATGAATTTAATGCTACAAGCGGTCTTCTTAGACCTGCGTTTTTGTCAACCTATTCAGGCTCACCGCCTCCATCAAGGGAAAGCAGCTTTGCTGACAATGAGGTGTCGGCCTGTTTCCGATGTGGAACAAAACCTCGATCTGGCGACAGGTTTTGTGGAAAATGCGGGACGGACCTTAAATGTTAGCAGGGCCTCTAAAAATGAACTTCAAGTTGTAATTCGTTCCCTCGCGGCAAATGTCTGCAGCTCATTTTACAGAAGGACAATATAAAATCGGAATGTTGCGCAATTTGGCGCGGAGAAACAATTTTTACCATCGTTTTCTGTTGTGTTGTTCACAGATCACTTTGTGATTATAAGAAAAGCTTGTTTATCGAAAAGTAAGGTTGTATCAAAGAAATACCATGTATGTGTTAACGGAAAAGAAAATAATTTTCACCCCAATATATGGCCCTTTCACATTGTAAAAACATGGAATGGAATTTGCAACGGTTCTTCACCCAAGACATTGGAAATACGTTTATTCTTCAGAGTTAATAAAGCGTAGCAATACCACTAACCTTTGACAATAGAAACAGGTGTTTCTCCCGTGTCCTCCACCGCAATAAAAAAGGACAGTTTGGGAACAAAAGCGTCTCATAAAAGTCCCCTCCTTCTTAATACGAGACAAGGGCTTATTTTTGAAAGTTTAAAAAATTTGTATAAAAAGCAGCTGAGAAGTAATTTATGTAATCAGCGGGTGGTTTGTGGGCCAGTTTATTTTGACGTTATCTTAACAACAATTCCCGCTCCCCCACCCCCAGAGTTTGATAGCCTTCATTTCCAAAGTCAATCATTTAGTTTGGTAAATAAAAGAAATCATAGCCGTGACGGTGATTTCCACGATGTTATTAGACCTCTGTTTTATTGTCCTTTGCTCAGTTTCGATTGAGAGAATATTATTATTATTATTGATTATGATTATGATTATGATTATTATTATTGTTATTATTATTATTAACTCTCAGGACAGTGTTTACAACATTTCCAAATACCAAGACATTCGTCACGTATTCTTCTCGAAGAGAGAGTATAGCGAGAGGGAATTGGTGCGAGACGAATGTGTCGCCTCAATCTCTTCTCGTCTTCCTGCTCCATACTACCTAGTAAATTTCGAAAGAGAAGCAGCAGTGTAAACCCAAAATTTCAGTTACGATTTAATGACTCTGTAAACATTTCTTTCCCTTTAATGAATGTTTTTACTCGCGTTGTGTTCAGCAAAGGCAACATATATATCCCATATATTTTACACATGACAACAACTC